CTTTGCCGTCTGGGTGTGTGCATGAGTGTGGCATTCACAGTGTCGCTCCTGTCTCCGAGGTGCTTTGCCGTCTGGGTGTGTGCATGAGTGTGGCAACTCCTGGTGTCTTGCTGTGGGTTGCAATTCACAGAGTAAAGTGATTGGATGAGATCTAGTGTCATTAAAGGAAAGTAAAACTGCCCTGGTACACTGGGGGTGGGCGTTCGGGGTGGGACATACCTGAAGCTCTGCGTTCAGTACCCGGCATGACAGAGAAATCCAAAATGAGAAAAAGACGCTGCTCTGGTAGCGATGGTCTCAGTTTGGTTTTTGTTTTTTTCAGAAGCGGGGCTTGAACTCAGGCCCTTGCGCTTGCCAGGGGTTCCGCATTTTAATTGGAACTTTTCATTATTACAAGTGTTCTCAGGATTTTGTATGTATTTGTTGGAAAACACATCTGGAGCTGTTTATTTAGTAGCACAGAGCTACTACAAATGAAAACTGAATTGGAGAACAGAATTAAAGAACAGAACTGATTACGGAATAGAAGTACAGGCCAACGAGATGGCTCAGCAGACAAGTGCCTGCTTAGGCAAGTGCAGGAACCAGGGTTCAGTCCCCAGCACCACATCCTGCAGCTACCTGTGTGCCGGTTGCTGAGCCAGCCCCCGAGTCTGGGCATGGTAGCACACGCATGTAATCCAGGTGCTGGGGAGGCTGAGAACACGATCACTATGAGTCTGAGCTACGTAGTGAGGCCCTGTGCCAAATACATACATAGGTATGTATGTACATTCATATGTACATAAAATAAATACTAAATTACAGTAGAATGAACTATGATAGAAGCTGTTGCATGGTAGAATTTCTTTTTCCTTCTGTGCTGCAATGGGTCAAGCACACGTCCTCAGGAATGGTAGGGCCAGCACACTACCCCTGAGTGGTATCTCCTGCCAGAAATTTTGGTGTGTAAAAGTTACCCAAAATTCTGACATGAAAGACAAGTCTGTTAGGTGACAGTCATCTTCCTCCATGTAGCAGTGAGGATGTAATTTCTGGTTTTTAAAAGTCCAGACAGAAAGGCACCTACAAAAGCTATCACTCAAAAAGCTCTTGCCAGAGTTCCCCCTGGCACAAAGTATAGCCATGCTCTAAAATGGACAGAAATATTTTGAAAGCTGTATGAGACTTTTACGCCTGGTTCCTACTAGATGGGGCTGTAGGTTAACACTCCCCAAGTCTTAGTATTGTTATATTAGTGGAATAACTGTTGTGAAATCTAAACTACATGCGTGCAAGTACACCTAACAGATTCCGTTCAACAGTATCTCCCCCAGAAGTTGTAGTTAATGTCAGAGCTGGTATGCTTTGAAAACAAGTTGCAGTAACTGAACTGCTTTCTTCCACCACCCCCATTTCAGACTGTAAGAAAGTCCCAGAGAGTGTAGGTTTTGCTATCACTATACTCAAAACCTAGAACTTGCATTGGTCAGTATTAATTTAAAACCATTTTATTGTCGAATCATAGCCATATGGGCCATTTGAATCTTTTAGGCCAGTGCTTCTACTGTATCAAAATCACAAGGCCCTACTCCCAGAATTTTTCATTCAGAAGGTCTGGGATAGGGATTAAGGATTTGGATTTATTTCTGGATGCCTGTAATCCCAGAATTCTGGGTGGCTGAGACAGGAGGATAGCAGGTTTGAGACCAGCCTGAGCAATTTAGGAAGACCCTGTCTCAAAAGTATTTTTTTAAATGACTGGGGAGAGGGCCAGCAAGATAGCTCCATGAACAAAGCACCTGCTTAGGCAAGCACAGGGACCTGGGTTCTGTCGCTGGCACCACATGCTACACAGGCCCTGCCCCTGCCTCCACCCCCAGACACAGAGCCACCACTGAGTCTGGGTGTGGTGGCACGCACCTGTAATCCCAGCACTGGGGAGGCTAAAAACAGGAGGATCACTACAAATCCAAGCTGCATAGTGAGACCCTGTATCAAATACATTAAAAAATATGGCTGGGGAACAGATGTTGTGTAAACCTGTAATTCTAGTACTTGGGAGGCTGAGATGGGGCCACGGTGGAATTTCAGCCAGTCTGGCTGCAGTCTCAGGGCCAGCCTGAGCTGCATGGTGAGACCTTGCCTCAGAATAGCTACATGAGTGCTGGGATGTCGCTCAGCCCTGTGGCCCTGGACTCAACCCAGTACTGCCAAATAAAAAGATTATTAATAAAGAATGTTTGCCCTGCCAGGGACATAGTAAAGCTCAATAAATTATACCTGCTATTGCTATTGTTATGAGTACTGCTTTTCAGATGAAGTGAAATAATAGCTCCTTGATCTCATCATTTGATTATTTATAGGTAGTATCTGCCTTTTTCACTGAACTATGGCTATTACATCTTTTTTGGCAGGTGAACAGTTAAGAAACTTAAATTTAAACCTGCGTTTGAAACCTGTATTTGAGCAAATAATGTCACTGACAGAACGGTTGATGGTACAAGTGCTGTCTTAGCAGACGTGGTGTTTTGCACACCTGGAATCCTAGCCTCGAGAGGTTAAGACAACAGCATTGACAGGTTGAGACTACCCTAGGCTACATATAGTGAGTCCAAGGCCAACCTGAGATAGATATGTGACATAAATACAGATCAAAACATGTATTAAGACCCTGTCTCAAAAATACAACAGAAAGATATTGTCTCTTAAAGACCATATTTATGATAACACATCCACATCACTAAAGAAAGAACTTCTCCCCAGCCTAGGAGAAATAAACCTTCTTGGCCTATAGCTCTGTCCTTGTAATAGGGCTCTGACAAAGTACAGAAGGATTCAACATTAGCTTTATATTTATCCTAATAAGTTTTTTAAAAAATCCATGTGAGTCCAGAATAAGTCTAATGGTCTTTAAGCAATGTCTTGATTACTTTTCTCTCGTTGCTGGGACAAAATCCCTGACACTCAAACTTCAGGAAGGAAAGGTTTATGTAGTTCACAGTTTGTGGAGGTTTCAGTCCATACTCAGCTGGCTCCAAGGCAGAGTGGAGCATGGCAGAGGGCAGCAGTTTGTGGTGGCAGAGAACAGCAAAACAGCAAGAGCAGAAAGGGGGGAGCAGTGGAGAGCAGATGGCATTAGATGGCATTCTCCCGTCCTTAGATGGCATTCAGGCTGCCCACCCCTGGGCGGGTGCAGCGCTCACACCCGTGATCCCAGCATGGGACCACGAATCAATCACAGGCTTTAAAGGCCACCCCATCCCTGCAGGAGGCTCTGGGGGGCATCTAGACACAAACCATAACAAGCAGTCCAAAGGCCTACAGTGCTATGAAGTCTCAGGGCAGAAGGCATGCTGAACATTGCCTGTCCTTGAACTGATACTGGCACGTACAAGTGCACTGAAATGACGTGGTCACGGTGCATTTCGAAGCAGCTGCCAGCAGGGTTTTCATTTTGAAAGGTAACGAACACCATGAAAGCCGCCCTGTCCCAAGTGTCTCTTTTCACTATGAATGGTGCTGACAGCTCTTTCTTGTTCTGCAGTTAGGGATATGATTTAAAATACAGATAACCTTGGTAAAATAATCACTTGGCTTTATTAAATTGGATAGAGAGCTGGGGAGACAGTTCAGCAGCTTAAGCACTTGCCTGGCAAGCACAAGGTCCTGAGTTCAAACCCCAGTACTTATGAATGAATGCATGAAATAATTAATTAATTAATTGGGTAGTGAGTTCATCTATAGAGCAGTTTCTGTCACCTCCTGGCTCTTCCCACGCATGAGCAAATCCATTTAGCTGTGTAGTTTGTAAGTAGAGAGTACAGGTGAAAATGTGTTTTTTCTTTGTCCTGTGTGTGGTTGGGAGGTAGAGTGGGGGCCACAGGAGAGCTAGAAGAAGATGAGGGGGCCTGGCCCTAGCTCAGTTCTTTAAGGGGCTGCTTCCACAAAGTTGTCAGCCTCAGGTTGCTGGAGTTCGATCCCCACAACAGTCGAACTAGCCAAAAAGTGCCCTGAAGTCAGTCGAGGACCAAAAAAAAAAAAAAAAAAGATGAGGAAGGCATGAAGGAAGGTCTGAAAGCGCTGAAGTCTTGAATGGGAGAAGCTGCTGGCAGGGGTGGGGAGCATGCAGAAAGGAGACACCGGAAGCTAAGCTTTCCTTTGAGTTTTTAATCAGAAGTTGTAATGAGGAGTTTTGGGCTTTTTTCCCTAGATATTTGAAAATGTATTTAAGGGACTAAAATTTGCCCTGCCTCTCCATGGTTTCTTAGAAATACCTGGTAAATCTCTTTTTTTTTTTTTTTTTTTTTT